ATAAGGGAAAGAAGAGCATCAAAGATTGTATTAGTTTTCTTTCTTTTTTTTGAAGGATTTTCTTTTTTTAATTTTAATTTTAATTTTTTTAGTCATACATGATAGCAGAATGTATTTTGACATATACTACATACATGGAATGTACATACATCAATCATATTGTCTGTTCTATTAAAGATTGTTAGTTTTCTATTGCTGCTATAGCAAATTACTGTTTAGGGATTTTAAAAAATCCAAATTTAGTATCTTACACTTGTGGAGTAAGAATCCAAAATGAGTCTCAGCAAACTAAAATCAAAATATTGATAAGAATGTGTTCCTTTTAGAAGTTTTAGGGAAGGGTCTGCTTCTTTGAGGCTTCTTAAAGCTGTCTGCATTCTTTGCTTCATAGCTCTCATCCATCTCAAAGCTAGCAGTCTGATTAAATCTTTTATTACCTCACATCACTCTGACACTGACTGCTCTGCTTCCCTCTTCTACATGTAAGAGCCCTTCTGACTACACTCTTCCCTTACACCAAAAAACAAGAACCAAAACAAACAAACAAAAATCACCACCCTAATCTGCAAATACAAAACTATTCTTAAACCCATCAGGATTTCAGGGCAACCAACCCAAAATCTAAGGATACAAACACAGGTTCCTTTAAGTAGATATGAGATGTAAGTCTTGCTTACCTGAGGGAGATGAAAAAAGACATTTGTAAAAATATGCCTTTAATGCATATTCTTAAAAAATAATAAGGTCTGAAGATCGGTGATCTAAACATCAATCTCAGATGAGAGAAACGGATCCTTCAGCTTTTCCATTTTTAGATCTCAGTTTTCTATATTATTTCCAAAAAAATCAGTCAAAGAATTAATCAAAGAAGTATTTAATTGTGGTATTTTCTGGTAAATGGATAGAACTGAAGACTATCATGCTAAGTGAAATAAGCCAATCTCCAAAAACCAAAGGCCAAATGTTCTCTCTGATATATGGATGCTAACACACAATAATGGAGCCAGGGAGTGAAGAAGAGAAGTTCATTGGCTTAGACAAAGGGGAATGAAGGGAAGGGAAGAGGTATGGAAATAGGAAAGACAGTAGAATGAATTGTATATAACTTTCCTATGTTCATTTTGAATACACCATCAGTGAAATTCCACATCTTGTTCAACCACAAAAATGGGATCCAGATTAGAATAAATTATGCTCTGTGTATGTATGTCAAAATACACTCTACTGTTATATATATCTATAAAGAACAAATAATTTTTTAAAATTTCCAAATTTTTTTCATACTGGAAAACACATGAGTTTCCAGTTTGTAAAAGATTGAGAATGAAAAAAGATAGCTGATATCACAGTGTGTAATAGTGAATTCTTACAACCCTGAGCACAAAAAAAGAATAAAGTCAAAAAACTTCCAAACAACAGAAAAATTAGGAGACAGATGATATAAACCCTCTCATTAGCACCTCTGAAAACTTAGATGACAATGGAACAATGTCTTAATAATTCTAAGTGAAAATTATTAATAAGTTAGAATCCACCTAACCAAATCTTCAGGATGATCTGAAGACATTTTCAGATGTACATGTCCTTAAATAGTTTCCTTGCATACATCTTTTCTTATGAAGCTTTTGGAGAGACATTCACAATCATAGAGAATGAACAAAGAAAGAGAAAAAATAGGATTCAAGAAATGGAGGTCAATGGAGCACAAAATAATGGTGATTTGAGTTCCCAATATGGGAGTTGTGTAACAGTCTTTATGAAAAAATTTTTCAGATTGGAATCAACAGAAGGCTTTAGGAGTGTTATGGTTTGGATGTGATGTGTCCCCCAAAATCTCATGTGTGAGACAATGCAAGAAGGTTTAGAGATAAAATGATTGGGGTATGAGAGCCTTACCCCAATAGGTGAATTAATCTCCTGATAGTAATTAATCCCCTGAGGTAACTGAAGGCACATAGTGTGTGGCTAGAGGAGGTGGGTCACTGGAGGCATGGCTTTGTACCATTTTATATCTGGCAAGTGGAGATATGATCTGATCATCATGTGAGCCACGTCCCTCTGCCACACTCTTCCACCATAATGTTCTGCATCACCTTGAGCCCTGAGGAATAGAGTCAACTGCCTATGGACTGAGACCTCTGAAACCATGAGCTCTAAAATAAAATAAAATTCCTCCTCTAAAATTGTGCTTGTGAGGTCTTTTAGTCACAGAATGAATAACTGACTAAAACAAAGAGAGGTTCCAGTATGATAATTGAGTACCAGGCCTACTGAAAATAAAAGTTCATATGGAACACAATAGAAGTTGATTATAAGTTCATAGAAAATAATTTAAACATAAAATTATTAACTTTAGAGAAAACAAATTTTCTCAAGAAAATTTAGGTAAATACAGTATACTACATGGCTCAGCTGTGAAGAAGATTTTTATACCATTAATATAATGAATACTGATATTCATATAGTAAAAATGTATGAATACTGATATTCATACAATAAAAATTATAATATTTGATATTAAAATTGTAACATATTTGACATTTGATGTAAAGTGTATAAAGTGAGATTGTATATGGTGATTATGGGATAAGAGTGTGAAAGATGGCAAAATCTTCTTTCCTAGTTGGAAGTCAATAGATAATGACTAAAATTAAAATACCAATATCACTCTTTTTTTGGTACAATATGGATATGAACCAAATAAAAGTGTTTGATTTTAGGAAGCAGAATATGGTGTTGGTGATGTGTGAGGAATTATTGGGGTTTAGTAATATTTGATTCTTTAAACTATATGCCTTTATAAATTGAGGAAATAAAAGCTAAAATTTAAGATATATGTAAACTGTCAGTTAATTGCAAAGATAATTTGGGGATTCCACTCTTTTATTTGTACTTCACTTGTTTCTAAACCCTGCATGATGATAATTTCCTATGAAATTGATCTTACTAAAGTATAATTTTAAAAAATAACATACTTCTTCTGGGTCTCATGGCCCTATGTTAATGTTATTCTTTGGAGCAGTCCATGTTTAGAAATTAATTTGAAATTTTTATTTGTAAATAATGCAAGATGTTGTCATAATTCAACCAGTGGCTAATTTGGAAAAGAGTGAGAGAAGGTAATTGATATTAAGAACTTATTGTGGACCAGGCAATGTGCTAAATAATTTCACATCTGCCTTGATAGAAAAATGGGGACTAAATTGAATAGAATTTTATATCTCATGTCAAGCACATAGAAAGCCTTCAAAAATATTTGAATCAATATGTTATCTCCCTTTTTATATCAGTTCCCAGTAGGCTTTAGCCCAGAAAGGAAAGTGTTGCTTAACATTATATTATATTAACCATGTCTTTTATTTTCTGTATATTGGCATTTTTAATATTATGGAACTTTCTGACCTTTGGTTTTTGCCCTTCTGGGGTTAACCAGTTTCTAGAAATAGTGTCATAGTTTAGATGTGAGGTATCCCCCAAAAGCTTACATGAGACAATGCAAGAAGGTTTTGAGGAGAAATAATTGGGTTTTAGCCTTAATGAATTAATCCTGATGGGATTAACTGAATGGTAACTAGAGGTAGGTGTGGTGTGGCTGGAGGAAGTGGTTCATTGGAGCGTGGCTATGAGGTATATATTTTGGGGTTTTTTCGCTATTTATTTTATTTTACATTTTAATCAGATGGGGTATAATTTCTCATTTTTCTGAATGTACAGGTTGTAGAATCACATTGGTCATGCAGTCATGTATATACATACAGCAATAATAATGTCTATTTTATTCTGGCTGGAGGAAGTGGTTTATTGGGGCATGGCTATGAGGTATATATTTTGTAACTAGAGAGTAGAGTCTCTCTCTCTGCTTCCTGATCATCCTGTGAGCTGGTTTCCTCTGCCACACTCTTCTGCCATGAATGGAGCCAGTCTTCTATGGATTGAGACCTCTAAAACCATGAGCCCTCATATAAACTTTTCCTCCTCTACAATTGTTCTGGTTGGGTCCTTTAGTCACAGTGGCAAAAAGCTGACTAAAACAAATAGTAAACAATTTCCTATGAACATATTTCTCAGATACAAACCAATCAATCCAAAGGCCACCCTACAACCACCTCTTATTGGCTCTCATATCCCAAGCACTATCTGCCCTAATCATCCTAGGACCAGGTACCAGACAATTAGATAGCACCAGTCCCTATCCCTAGAGCCTGTTGAAATAATTCAAACTAGCTATTATAACTATCATAAGCCTGGTTACCTGACCTTGCCCATTCCTTCCTAAGGAAAATGATTCTTGCCCATAGTTTCCTTCTCTTCCTCTGTTTCCTAACTGGTCCCAGTGCTTCCCCTGTGGTATACCCCTCTCCTCCTGGGAGTTACATATAATAAACCATCCTTTCAATGGCATCTGTTGACTTTATTATGCATCAAAGTTTCTATTAATACCCAATATTTTAAACACAAGAAATCTATCACAAAGCACTCAAGTGAATCAAACTGAAGGCTTTTGTATATTTTATCTAGTAGCAAAATGCTGCTAATAATGCTAAAAATGTGATAACTGTAGCTGAAAATTCTTAGAAAATTCTAACTTGATATTGAATCTGGTAAATAATCCTAAGTGAAAAACCACTACTGAGAAAATATTGGCTATATTTACGAGCATGGTATATATAAGTGTATATGTATGGTAATAGTAATAGTGATAATAATAATATTACATCATGTTTGTAGAGTGTGTTTGTAGAGTGTGTTTCTATTTACTGCACACTTTATTACAGTTCAATTAATCCTGAAGTGCCCAAAGAGATTTTATTATTTTCAATTTTAAATATAGATGTTTAGAGTAGTTAAATGGCTTACATAATTCCACACAGCTTAAAAGGAACAAAAGCAGAAATTTTTGTTGTGAGGATGAAATATGTAAGTCAAAATTGTTTGACAAATTAAGAGGTATTTTTCAAAATCCTAATTTCTTTGGCTAAATATACACTCCATATTAACAGGACTACAACCACGAAAAGGCTTTTGGGTTCACTGGAAACTAAAAGACCTCTCCACAACAACCATACATGGTAGCAAGAGAGCAACTGAAAAATCAATAAAGGAAAGAATTGCAAGTAGTCAAGAACACATTATATCTAGTAAGTAAAATTTTGGTAACTGCAGAATGGAAAAGGTAGCCAAAATCAAGCATATTAGATTATGTATCAGTCTAGTTTTTCTAATAAGTTATTTTTATGATGGTCTTTAAATATTTGATGCATAGATTGTTTTCATAATAGTAACGTATCTCAATCTTTTTTCCGTTTGCCTGTTATGATATTTTTATATTGGTTTTTAGGAACTTTGTGTCTTTATGTACAATATAGATATTCTCACTTTTAGCTATATTACTAATTGGAAGATAATGTCTTTCTAATAGATTAGTGTATTTCTTGTAAAAAAAAATACTATGATTAAGTCTTGTTTTTTATTTAGTCTGATGATATCTTAATTTTTAATAGAAATGATACTTAATTTATCTTTAATTATTGATAGAGTTGGTTTTATTTCTATTATGTTCCTATTTGTTTTCAATTTTATCTAATCCATTCTTTGTTTTTCAATTCCCCTTTTCTTGCTTCTTTTGGTTTATTGAATATTTTTAGTATTCCATTTTAATTCTTCTATTGGCTATTTACCTTTACCACTTTGTATTTTTAAGATGGTTTAATAATTACAAAATGCATCCTTAAATTATCAAAATGCTACCTGAAGTTAACATTATATTGCTTCACTTAAACTGTAGAAACTTGGAGCAGTATGGTCTACATGTGCACTTCCTTATCTTTTGCGCTATTGTTGTCCTCTCTATATTAGATGTAAACAAATAACAGCCTTCTATTAGTGTTATGAGTTTTGTTTCAAATAATTAATTTTTTCACTTTTTGAGGCCTATTGATGTTTAATATACTTCATATATTCAAAGTATGGAACTTTATGAGTTTTGACATACATATAAAGAAACTGAAAACCCATCACAACTCTTAAGATAGGAAACATATCTATCAGTTCCTCATGCTTTTAAAAAATTCCTTCCTCCCACCTAGTCTCTAGGCAATCTAATATGTTATTTTTGCCACTATAATTTTATAGTGGCAAATATATATATATATATATATATATATATATATATATAAAATAACAGAATCATAGAATGTTTGCTATATTGGGAGGACATTTTTTAAATTTTTTTTTCGATTCTTTTTTTTTATTATTATTTGTTCAAAACATTACAAAGCTCTTGACATATCGTATTTCATATATTTGATTCAAGCAGATTATGAAATCCCATTTTTACCCCGTATACATATTGCAGATTCACATCGGTTCCACATCCACTTTTTTACATACTGCCATACTAGTGTCTGTTGTATTCTACTGCCCTTCATATCCACTACTATCCCCCCTCCCCTCCCCTCCCTCCCCTCCCATCTTCTCTCTCTACCCCATCTACTGTAATTCATTTCTCTCTCTTGTTTTTTTCCCCTTTCCCCTCACTTCCTCTTATATGTAATTTTGTATAACAATGAGGGTCTCCTTCCTTTACCATGCAATTTCCCTTCTCTCTCTCTTTCCCTCCCCGCTCTCGACCCTGTTTAATGGTGATCTTCTTCTCATGCTCTTCCTCCCTATTCTGTTCTTAGTGGCTCTCCTTATATCAAAGATGACATTTGGCATTTATTTTTTAGGGATTGGCTAGCTTCACTTAGCATAATTTGCTCTAGTGCCATCCATTTCCCTGCAAATTCCATGATTTTGTCATTTTTTAGTGCAGAGTAATACTCCATTGTGTATAAATGCCACATTTTTTTATCCATTCATCTATTGAAGGGCATCTAGGTTGGTTCCACAGTCTAGCCATTGTGAATTGTGCTGCTATGAACATCAATGTAGCAGTATCCCTATAGTACACTCTTTTAAGGTCTTCAGGGAATAGTCCGAGAAGGGCAATAGCTGGGTCAAATGGTGATTCCATTCCCAGCTTTCCAAGAAATCGCCATACTGCTTTCCAAATTGGCCACACCAATTTGCAGTCCCACCAGCAATGTACAAGTATACCCTTTTCCCCACATCCTCGCCAGCACTTGTTGTTGTTTCACTTCATAATGGCTGCCAATCTTACTGGAGTGAGATGGTATCTTAGGGTGGTTTTGATTTGCATTTCTCTGACTGCTAGAGATGGTGAGCATTTTTTCATGTACTTGTTGATTGATTGTATGTCCTCCTCTGAGAAGTGTCTGTTCAGGTCCTTGGCCCATTTGTTGATTGGGTTATTTGTTATCTTATTGTTTAATTTTTTGAGTTCTTTGTATACTCTCGATATTAGGGCTCTATCTGAAGTGTGAGGAGTAAAAATTTGTTCCCATGATGTAGGCTCTCTATTTACCTCTCTTATTGTTTCTCTTGCTGAGAAAAAACTTTTTAGTTTAAGTAAGTCCCATTTGTTGATTCTTGTTATTAACTCTTGTGTTATGGGTGTCCTATTAAGGAATTTGGAGCCCGACCCCACAATATGTAGATCGGAGCCAACTTTTTCTTTTATCAGACGCAGAGTCTCTGATTTGATATCAAGCTCCTTGATCTATTTTGAGTTAACTTTTGTGCATGGCGAGAGAAGGGGATTCAGTTTCATTTTGTTGCATATGGATTTCCAGTTTTCCCAGCACCATTTGTTGAAGATGCTATCCTTCCTCCATTGCATGCTTTTAGCCCCTTTATCAAATATAAGATAGTTGTAACTTTGTGGATTAGTCTCTGTGTCCTCTATTCTGTACCATTGGTCCACCCACCTGTTTTGGTACCAGTACCATGCTGTTTTTGTTACTATTGCTCTGTAGTATAGTTTGAAATCTGGTATCACTGTGCTGCCCGATTCACACTTCCTGCATAGAGTTGCTTTTGCTATTCTGGGTCTTTTATTTTTCCATATGAATTTCATGATTGCTTTATCTATTTCTACAAGAAATGCCGTTGGGATTTTAATTGGCATTGCATTAAACCTATAGAGAACTTTTGGTAATATCACCATTTTGATGATATTAGTTCTGCCTATCCATGAACAGGGTATATTTTTCCATCTTCTAAGATCTTCTTCTATTTCTCTCTTTAGGGTTCTGTGGTTTTTATTGTATAAATCTTTCACCTCTTTTGTTAGGTTGATTCCCAAGTATTTTTTTTTTTTTGAGGATATTGTGAATGGGGTGTTTTTCCTCATTTCCGTTTCAGAAGTTTTGTCGCTGATATACAGAAATGCCTTTGATTTATGCGTGTTGATTTTATATTCTGCCACTTTGCTGAATTCATTTATTAGTTCTAGTAGTTTCTTTGTAGACCCTTTTGGGTCTTCTAGGTATAGAATCATGTCGGTCGCAAATAGTGATAATTTAAGTTCTTCTTTTCCTATTTTTATGCCTTTAATTTCTTTCATCTGTCTAATTCCTCTGGCTAGTGTTTCGAGAACTATATTGAATAGAAGTGGTGATAGAGGGCATCCCTGTCTTGTTCCAGATTTTAGAGGGAATGCCTTCAATTTTTCTCCATTCAGAATGATGCTAGCCTGAGGCTTAGCACAGATAGCTTTTACAATGTTGAGGTAAGTTCCTGTTATCCCCAGTTTTTCTAATGTTTTGAACATAAAGGGATGCTGTACTTTGTCAAATGCGTTTTCTGCGTCTATTGAGATGATCGTATGGTTCTTATCTTACAAGTCTATTGATATGGTGAATAACATTTATTGATTTCCGTATATTGAACCATCCATTCATCCCAGGGATGAATCCTACTTGATCATGTTGCACAATTTTTTGATGTGTTTTTCTATCTGATTTGGCAGAATTTTATTGAGGATTTTTGCATTTAGGTTCATTAGACATATTTGTCTGTAGTTTTCTTTCTTTGAGGTGCCTTTGTCTGGTTTTGGAATCAGGGTGATGTTGGCATCATAGAATGAATTTCGAAGAGCTCCCTCTTTTTCTATTTCCTAAAATAACTTGAAAAGTATTGGTATTAATTCTTCTTTAAAGGTTTTGTAAAACTCCGCTGTATACCCATCCGGTCCTGGGCTTTTCTTGGTTGGTAGTCTTTTGATTGCTTCTTCTATTTCATCCATTGATATTGGTCTGTTCAAATTGTGTGTATCCTCCTGACTCAGTCTGGGCAAATCATATGACTTAAGAAATTTATCGATGTCTTCACTATCTTCTATTTTATTGGAATATAGGTTTTCAAAATAATTTCTAATTGTCTTCTGTATTTCTCTAGCATCTGTTGTGATATTGCCTTTTTCATCCCATATGTTAGTAATTTGAGTTCTCTCTCTTCTTCTCTTCGTTAGCATGGCTAAGGGTCTGTCAATCTTATTTATTTTTTTGAAGAACCAACTTTTAGTTTTGTCAATTTTTTCAATAGTTTCTTTTGTTTCAATTTCGTTGATTTCCGCTCTGATTTTAATTATTTCTTGCCTTCTGCTACATTTGCTGTTGTTTTGCTCTTCCTATTCTAGGGCTTTGAGATGAAGTGTGAACTCATTTATTTGTTGTTTTTTTCTTTTTTGGGGGAATGATCTCCAGGCAATGAATTTCCCTCTTAAAACAGCTTTCATTGTGTCCCATAGATTCCGATATGTTGTGTCTGTATTTTCATTTATCTCTAAGAATTTTTTGATTTCTTCCTTTATGTCTTCTGTAACCCATTGATCATTCAGTAACATATTGTTCATTTTCCATGTGATGTAGGATTTTTCCTTCCTTCTTTTATCATTGATTTCCAGTTTCATTCCATTATGATCAGATAAAATTAATGGTATTATCTCCATCCCTTTATATTTACTGAGGGTTGCCCTATAGCATAATATATGGTCTATTTTTGAGAAGGATCCATGTGCTACTGAGAAAAAAGTATATCCACTTGATGATGGTTGATATATTCTATATATGTCAGTTAAGTCTAGGTCATTGATTGTGATATTGAGTTCTATAGTTTCTTTATTCAACTTTTGTTTGGAGGATCTGTCCAATGGTGAGAGAGGTGTGTTGAAGTCACCCATAATTATTGTGTTGTGGTCTATTTGATTCTTGAACTTGAAGCGAGTTTGTTTTATGAATGTCG